TTTCTTCTTTTGTTCTCCCTCCGTCCCTCCCTTTCCTTTTTTCTTTTCTTTCTCAGTCTCTGCTCCCCGTCGCTGCTCAAATCAGGGAACAGGCACCGCGAGGTCCCGAGGCCGAGGCGGCCACGCCAGGGCTGGGGTCCCCGGGAGGGCGGGCGCGGCCCCGGCTCAGCGGGCTTTGTTCCCTGACCGCCTGCCGGGCGACAGCTCAGTCATCCAGGGGAGACTTACAGCTCTGTTTTACCAAGGAGGGAAACTGAGGCTGAGAGAGGGGAGGACACTGGGCCCGAGGCAGGGAAGGCCTGGGACGGACCCCAGAGCAGCCCCTTCCCGCTTCCCACCATCGGGGGCCGTCCGGGGGGCTCCAAGGACAGGGCAGAGATCTCTGTCTCTCTGTGTCTCTGAGTTTCTCTCCCCCTTCGTCTCTCTCCGCTGCCCTCTGTCTCTGTCTGTCTCTGTCTGTCTGTCTGTCTGTCCCGGGCTGGCTCTCCACATCTTCCCAGCAGTCCTGGGGCGCGCGGGGCTGGGGCAGGGGCCGGCCTGGCCCCCGGTGATGTGGGTCCCCTCCCCCGGCCTGGCCTTGCCCTCTGACCCCCGAACAGCCTGTTCCTCCCACCCACCGAGAGCCGATCGTCATGGGTGCCCTGGGCTGGAGCCAAGGCCAGCAGCTGGGGCTGGGGGAGGCGGCCTGTCCTCCAGGGCCCGGCCGGGGCCCCGCCCAGCTGCCCTTCCCCCCCCTGGCCTGCCCCGGGGCCCCCACAGGGCCCCCCAAGAGGTCTCAGCCTCCAGCCCTGACCCATTCCGCCCGGCTTGCAGACCCCGGGGTGCTGGCCGTCGCCCCAAGTCCAGCAACGCGCCATCTTGTTCACTGAGTTTCTTTATTCAGCCAACAAACGCTCCCAGGACCCAGTCTGGGCCCGCCCCGTGCTGCTGGGGCCTCGGCCCAGCCCCCACCAAGCCCCCAGGTCAAGACGGACGGAGCTGGACACACTCGCCCCCTCCGCCCAGGGTCAGAGTTGAGCCGGAGGGAAGGGTGGGGCTGGGATAGTGGTGGGAGGGCGGCAGGGATGTGACAGCTGGGGTTTTGAGAGATGAATAGGAGTTTCCCAGGGAGGCAAAAGGGGCAGAAAAGCTTGGCGGGCGGGGCGAGGAGGAGCAGGGGCGCTCTGCACAGCCAAGGGGCGCACTCTGCCCATCTCATGGGGGTGGTGGGGGGCCTCAGGGCCCAGAGAGGGAAATCCGCTAGCCCAGCGGCTCGCGTGCAAGTGGCAAAGAAAGCCTGGGTTCCATGTCTAGGCTGTCAGCCTCCTTCCCCTGGGCCTCCTCCCCTGGAGATGCTATTCCCTCCGCCTGCAGCGCCTGCCATTCCGCCACTGTCGGCAGAGCCCCCGCCAGGCTCTGTGCCACCCCTCTGTGGCTCTCGGGGGAGGGGGTGGGGCCCAGGACAAAAAGGGCCCCATGGCCCAGGGTCCCCAGCAGGCACCTGGGCTCCCCCAGACAGCCAAGCCCCAAGCCCGCCTCTGCTCCCGTCCTTGGCTTCCTCCCGGGACAGGGAGAGAGAGAGAGAGGGCAGATGTCTGATGGCAGCTACTTAAAGCCACATTAATGTCCCTCTTGGCAATAAGACAGGAGACTCCAAGCCAGCTGCCTGTTGCCCCAGCTGCGTGGGAGGCTGAGGTGGGAGGACTGCCTGAGCCCGGGAGTTGGAGGCCAGGCTGGGCAACAGAGTGAGACCCTGTCTCTTTTTTTAAAAAAAAAAAAAGGAAAAGAAAAGAACTCAGGGCGTGGGACGACGGGAGGGGCTCGGCCAGGCCGCTGGGTCTGGCATCTGCACAAACTGCAAAGGCCACCGGCTGCTCCTCGGGCCAGGGGAGCCCCCAAACGCGATGTCATCGGCCACACGGGGGTGTCCTTCGCGCAGGGGCCCCTCGGGGGGCCTGAGGCCAGAGAGGGGCTCTTCCCTGCCCGAGGCCACGCACGCACGCAGCCGGGTGGTCAGGCCCGGGTGCAGAGGTTGGCCCGCGGGACAGACCCGGGTCTCCCGCACAGCCGCTACCCGCGGCCCCCGCCCCACAGCGCCTCCAGCCGGGGGCCCAGGGCGCAGAATGGTGGCCGGTCCTGGGGGCCCGAGGCCCAGCACAGCTTCATGAGCTCGTGAACCTGCAGGGGGGGGGGAAACAGGGTCATGCCCTGAGCCGTTGGAAGGATGTGACTCCCATCCCCAGGTTTTGAAACATAAGTGAGACTCCCCCACACACACACACACACCTCTGCTCCACAACCTCCCATGGCTCCCTGTGGGTCTTAGAACAAAATCCACACGATCGCAACCCTCCCCTCCATCACTTCCCTCTGGCCACACCAGCCCAGCCCCGCCTCCCCTGGCACTGTGAGTTAAAGGCACCAAGTTCGTTCCCACCCCAGGGCTTTTATTTTTATTTTTATTTTTTTTTTTTTTGAGACAGAGTCTCGCTCTGTTGCCCAGGCTAGGGTGAGTGCCGTGGCGTCAGCTCGCCCACAGCAACCCAGTTTACCCTGGGCTCAGGCGATCCTCCTGCCTCAGCCTCGCGGGTAGCTGAACTACAGGCATGGCCACCACCGCAGCCCGGCTAATATATATACTATATATATACTATATATATTATCAGAGTTGGCCAAATTAATTCTTTCTATTTATATAGAGGACGGGGTCTCCTCTTGCTCAGGCTGGTTTGAACTACCGTGACCTCGAGCATCCGCCGCCTCGGCCTCCCGAGTGCTAGGATTTCAGGCGGTGAAGTCACCGCGCCAGGCCTCCACAGGGGCCTTTATGCACCTGCCACATCCTCGATCCTGCAGACGTGCTCCTTCTCGGCTTTTTTCATGGTGGGCCTCCTCCGTCTCCTCCGGACCCGCCCCCCGCCAGCCTGTTCGCCACCCTCCTCCTGCTCCTCTCGGTCAAAGGCACCTGCCGTCCTAGAGTGTTCTTAGTAGGCCAACCGCAGTTACGGGAGGAGGGCTAGTAGCGCTTCCCCCCGGCGTAGTGTCCGGTCCCGCAGCCCCACCACGACCGGCGTCCGGCAACTGTCCCGGGCCACATCGTGGGTTCAGTACGAATGACCGGCCGCGTGACAGACACTTCCACAAAACTCACGGCGATCAGCCCCAAGCGTCACCACACTTTAAGGAGCGCCAGCTGTGGCGGGCTTCCGAGGCGAGCCCGCGATGGAATCGGCTTGCTCTGATCTTCCCCCACCCTGTAAGGCAGTACGGTTCCCACTGTGGAAATGGGAAGGCCGAGGCTGCGCAGACGTCGCTGGCGAGCCACAGGAGGCAAGAGCCGGCCAGGTCGGCCGGGGCGGTGGCTCAGCGCTGGACCACCCAGCACTCTGGAAGGCCGAGGCGGGAGGATCGCTCGAGGTCAGGAGTTCGAGACCAGCCTGAGCAAGAGCGAGCACCCCGTCTCTACTAGAAAATAGAGAAGAAATTAATTGGCAACTAATATTATATCAGAAAAAATGAGCCGGGCATGGTGGCGCATTGCCTGG